GGTGGGGCAGGACCTGCAGCCTCCTCGGGGCTGCTGCTGGATTGGGCCCTGGCTGTGCAGCCCCCCCTGGTTTTCCCTGCAATTAGGGGACACAAGTGAAATCGCTTTCAGCACAGGTAAATCTGTGAACAGCCAACGTATTTATAAAGCAGGTGAAGCCGTGCCGGTGCGCTGCGCTCACTCAGGCACCCCGGGGCTGTGTGTCTTGTGCTGTTGACGCCAGATGGAACTCGCTGGGACTCAGAGCAGAGAGTGAGGGCGATGCTGCAGTTGCTGCTGCGGAGCCTGCCCGAGCTGTGCCGAGCCGTTCGTTCCTGCCCTCATTTCGGGTGGACAGGGTGTGCTGCCTTGGAGCTCGTGGGAGAGCCCTCTCCTCTGGCCGCAGCAAGCAGCAGAGGGTGGATTGTGACCGCCCCACACCACAGTCACCTAATGTGCCTCTTGCTAATGCCACCAGGACCAGAAGCTGTAAGCAAGCGGTGGGCGCTATATGGAACATGGCACAACCAGGGGACCAGACCCCTTCCCCTTTGGACGAGAAGCCCAAGAATTCAGCAAACCAGACTCCAGCTTCTTCTTTGTCTGCCAGCAAGGTGAGCGGGTGTCCTGGGCCTTTGCCTCCCTGTATTTCCCCCCTGACAATGACTGATTTCCCTGCATCTCCTCTCAGGTTGTGAAACCGTTGAAAAACTTCCTGCAGGCTGTGCAGCGAAACCAGCTGCTCACGAGCCCGGGGCCCACGGGACGTGGGGGTGTCATAAAGAATTTCATCAAATGCAGTACTCCCACCCGGCCGGACGTCAAGGTGTGTCCAAGTCCCACCTTTCCTCACAGGGCTGGAGGAGGAGATCAAGTCAGGGGAGTGGCAGGAGGGGCCATTTGCTTAGAAAAGTGTAAATGTGTTCCCCATTCTGTCTGCTGCCACAGATCCGTGCGGCAAACTGGTCTCACAATTCCCCTTCAGCCTCCCCAGGGCAGGGATGCTGGGTGGTGGTGCCTCGCATTGCCTGTCCCCACACACTGTTACTGGCCAGGGGGCCTTGGCACCAATCCTCAAACCTTCCCCAGATGCGGAGAAATCTCAGCTGCTCTATCTGTATCAGCAAAAATGTTTTATATTCTGCGGCTGCTGGGCCATAGGGCAATGGGAAGCTTCTCTCTTTGCAGTGGGTATTGATGATGTGCTGTGAAGGAGGATTCTGGTGTTACTTCCAAGCCCTTAATAATTCTTAAATGTCTCTTCTCTACAGGGAGACTTTGTTGTAAGTAACGACACCCTTAACCGTGGGGACTGGGAGATGATCATGGCCGTGCTTCTTGCCTCTTGGGCACTGGCAGCTCTTTCCTGGGGCACTGGCATCCACGCAGCTCTCTCCAAATAAGCGCGCTGGCCCCACGGGTGGTGAGGTGTCAGGGTCTCCACGGGTGTGCTCTGCAGGGGCTGGGAACTGCTGGGGAACTTTGTGGCCCCAGAGCAAGACAAGTTGTGTTCTCCTTCTCCCCTGCCCTCCCAGCTGCTGGGTAGGCAGCGCTGTCCCAGGCAGGGAGCACTTGCCACAGGAGTGTGCTGTTCCTCACCTAAACGGGTTCTCTACATCTGAAGGACTGAGGTGTTTCCCTCCTTTACCTGTGACTCTTCTACTCTTACGAGTTGAGTAAGCACTGTCGCCAAACCCGTTGCTCCTTCCCTGCTATTCACTTCCCATCCCAGTGTGTGGGTGAAGGGCTCTGACAGGGACGGCTTTGTTCGGCGGGGGCCCAGCCTGGGGCTGCCTGTGCGCCGGCAGCCTGAGGGGAGAAACAGGCCCCAGCAATTGATGGAGTCTGAACTCATCTCCCTTCAGGAGAAGGAGCGGCAGAGACTGGAAAGCCTCAGGAAGAAGCAGGAGGCTGAGGAGCAGAGGAGAAAGAAAGTGGAGGAGGAGAGGAAGCGGCGCCAGGCGGAGATGAAGCAGTGAGTTGGGTCCCAACCTGCCGCTTCTTCCCCGGCTCAGCACAGAACTGCAGCGCTCTGTGCCTCCTGCCAGGGAGGAGCGCTTGGCACGGGGTGCTGCCGGGCACCCCCAGCCCTGTGGGCCGCGTCTCATGGCAGTGAGAACCTCGCTGGTGCAAAGTACTTGCTCATGTCCCAGCTGAATCCGGAACTGAGCTGAGACTGAGCTCAACCAAAGCAAGTTGAGCTTAAAAGGACTGTCTCCCCCAACTGCTGTGGCAAGTCCCTGTTCCCCTGTCCCCCTCTCTGCCGGAGCAGACAAAGCTAACGAGCCCCTCTTGCACCCACCCT